GGCGGAGCCGGGAGCGCAGGTAGGGTCCCTGCGTGCGCGGCGCCGGGGCTGCGGCCTCCAGACCCCCGAGCTCGTCGCCCCTGAGCGGGCCGAGGCTGTAGCCGGCGTGGGGGCCGCGCTGGCCAGAGCTGGGAAAGGAGACGCGGGGAGCAGACGGAAAGCGAGGTGTTCCGACGCGGCGCCTGGTCGGTGGAGGAACGGCGGGGAGCTGGAGAGCGAGGCCGGGGAGCGGACAGGCGGTCGGAGAAGTGCCGGACGCCGCCGGCGCAGCCTGTGTGCGGTAGTGGGAGCTTTGCCGTGTTCCGAGAGGAGAATGCCGGGCGGCGGAGCGCCGTGGGCCGACTCACAGGAGTCTCTCCAGTGCCGGGGGCTGCGGGGGCTAGGCAGGAGGGACGCGGGGAGGCGGAGGGGGCCTGCGGGAAACTGGCCTGGTTTGGGAGGGGTTCAGGAGTGGGGTTGACAACATTTGCTGATGGACTGCTGACAGTGGGGGGCTAAAGGAAGAACTGTTGATGCAAGTGTGAGGATTCGGGTCCTAGACGTGGGTCCTAGCGTCCCCCGCTCGGAGTCTTTCCTTCTGGCGATGGGGCACCTGGCGAGACTTGGCTTGAGTTTGTTCCACCCTGAAGGAACCAGCATGGCGATGGGGACGCGCAGACTTGGGTCCCACCGCTAATTCGCTGTGACTCCCAGGCTGGACCCCGGGACCCGTCCCTGGCGCCTCCCGAGGCGTGTACTGGCGCCATCCCTGCAGGGTGCGGGCCACACCGCAGTCACCTGCAGGCACACAGCTGACTGTCCTCTGTCCTCTGGGTCTCACAGGGCGGCTTTTCATGTTAAGTTATGGGGTATCATTGCCACCCAGGAGCCCCAGGAGATACAAGCAAAAAGAGGAAAAAATGAAATGTTTTTTTACCAGGGATTGGCAGGCTACAGCCTGTGAACCAATAATAGATTTTACACTTTTAATTGGTGCAGGGGGGTGGAAGGAAAGAGAACATTCCGTGATCGGTGAAAATTACATGAAATTCAAACGTTGGTGTCCAGAAATAAAATTTTATTTCTCCGTTATGTGTAACTTTATTTTCTGTGGTTTCAGTAACCCACATCAGCCACGGTCCATGAATATTGTGAATAAGGTGTTTTGAGAGACTTTCACTTAACTTCTGTGGGTATATTGCCCTCCCTGTTTAATGGTTTGTTACTTAGTAAGATTGTATCAGTTATGTTGTTAATCTCTGTTGCACCTAACTTAACAAACTGTATGAACGCAGAAGATGTGAACTCAGTGGGGTCTGATAGTGTCAGAGCTTTCGGGCATCCACTGGGGGTGGCGGGCGACCGGTCTCCTCACGTCCAAGGGCGGGCTGCCGCAGTGGAGCACAGCCCTGGCCTCTCGTCTCCGAGCTCTCCGCGGCTGCCTTGAGCTAACCACCCAGCGCCGCGTCGCAGAGCCCGGGGCCCTTGTCAGGAAGTGTGCAGCTCTGGTCGGGCCGGTGTTGCTGTTTTAGCGCTGGTTCACGCGGGCATTTAGCTGGTGATTATCATCTTTGTCATTTTTGCTGCTGCTTTCTAGTATTAGAACTATTCCTATGAATCAGTTAGCCTAGATTTCATAATTAATCAGTGCTGTCGATGAAAAATGGATCAAATTTAGTTTGTATTTAAGAACTTTTGTGCTCAACTGTGACGCTGCTCAGCTGTGTTTCACAAAATGCCGCCCGTCCAGATTCAGTTGGTCTTCTCCACGCGGGAAGGCCCCCGCCTTAGCGCCCACCCACAGGGCTGCGCGTTCTGTTCCCTGCTCCCGGTGCCCTTTGCCAGCTCTGTACTCCTGTCCATCTTACCCAGCTCGCGCCTCTGTCCTGTAGGACTCGCTTAAACACTGCCTTCTGGTAAGACTGCCCTTGACATCAGAGGCTGTCAGGTGCTGCGGCCCGATGCCCACACCTGCGCCATCCACCCTAGCCGTGCCTGCCCTCGCCGCCTCTTCCCTTTGTCCTCCTCACGCTCAGCTCTGTGGCCACTGAGACCCTCTCGCTGTGCCTGCCGCCCGGCAGACACAGGGCCTTTGTGCCTGGAGTGCTTACAGCTCTACCCGTAGCTTCCTCCCTACTCAGGGAAATCCTGAGCTTTCGCTCGCTGCTCTCCGTGGCTTATGGCAGTGTCTGCTGTTACATGGCGTAGTCATGAGCCCACATGAGCCCGCAGGGTAGGAACTGTCTCGTCATTGTGTTCCAGAATCTAGAACTCCTCCTGGCACTTAGAGAGGCGGTCAGCACAGGTCTGTCAGGTAAATGGCCGACCCACAAACAGTAAGCAGGCCTTTGTGGATTCCTCCTGCAGGTCAGATTCAGAGGAAGAGCGGTGGCAGCGGCGAGAGAGGCAGAGCAGGAGCCCGCCACCGCCCCGATGTCACTCACAGGACCGGTCCTCTCGGTCCAACTCAGGCGATGAGCGATGGCGGCGGCAGCAGCGGGGCCGGTGGGTCCGCCCACGACGCACACGCTCTTGGTCTCCGGGCTCCTCCGGGTCCAGCTCGGCGTCCCCAGACCCCTCCCAGAGTCCTCAGGAGGCAGCCGTGGCCCTGAGCCGGCAGCAGAGCCTGCAGGAGCGGCTGCGCCTGCGCGAGGAGCGGAAGCAGCAGGAGGAGCTGATGAAGGCCTTCGAGACGCCCGAGGAAAAGCGGGCCCGGCGGCTGGCCAAGAAGGAGGCGAAAGAGAGGAAGAAGCGGGAGAAAATGGGCTGGGGGGAGGAGTACATGGGCTACACCAACGCCGACAACCCCTTCGGCGACAACAACCTCCTGGGCGCCTTCATCTGGAGCAAGGTGAGCCGCCCCCAGGGCCGCGCGGCCCTCGTCGCCCTCCCCGTGCGCTGCGCTGCCGCCCCTCAGTCCTCGGCCGTCCCTGACCCCTCTGTGGAATTTCAGGTGCCCGTTGCTCAGACTGGCCCAGCCTCAGCGGCGGGTAACGAGGGCTCCGCAGTCAGCTGCTCTGTTGGCCCGCTTGGAAGAGGTGGTGGCAAACCTTGCAGCCCCTTGCCAGCGTAGCCTGGCACGGCCTGCCGCAGCGCTTGCCCCCTCCCTCTGCTCCCTCCTGACCCAGAGACCTGGCACCTGAGACAGGGGCGGCCCCTGCAGGAGAACCCCGCCGCCTCCCAGCCCCTGCTCAGGCCGGCTGCCTGAGACCTGGAGCTGCTTCACTCCAAGCTTTGCCCATTGTCACACGACCCCTCTGTCCCTGCACCCAGGTTTCTATGTTTTGAGGTCACAGGTCATTGCCTTAGGGCTCCAGCCTGACCTCAGCTTACTGCAGCTCCAGAGACCGTTTTTCCGATGAAAGCCCCATGCAGCTTCCAGGGTGGGATGTGGGTGTCACGGGGGCAGAGGGGAGCACACAGACCAAGCCAGCACAGCACGTGGGCACAGGCAGTCCCCATGGCCGTCTGGACACAGGCGCCCTCCCCCTGGGGCGTGTGCGCTAGCCCAGCTGGCCCGGGCCTCCTCGTCCTTCGCGTCTCAGCTGGTGTGAGCCCTCTCCCGGGGGGTCTTCCTGGCCCCTCCGATCTCCCCGATACTCTTTTTAAAGACACCTGTCCCTCCCCAGTACCTTTCTAGTAGGTGAGTCGCGCCTGCTGGGCACGGTCCTGTGGTGCCCCCGGGGCCCGTCTCGCGGGGGCTGTATGGAGCCAGGTTGGCTGAGTCCACCGTGAGGCAGGTGGCAGCTGCCGTGGAAGATGAGCGGAGATGTGAGCAGTGCAGAGATGCCCTGACTCCTGCTCTCGGGCAAGGTCCTGCCGGTCAGGGGCCTGGGCCCGGGGCCGCGCCGCTCTGTGCACGGAGGTGCTGGCTAAGTGCGAGTTGGGCTCGCGTCGGTGCTCGGCAAGGCGTGTGCCCTGCGTTGCCCCCGCCAGCCTCTGGGAGCCCGGCCTGCCTCGGGGAGCGCGCCTTGCAGCGGGGGCGTTTTATTGGCCCCTCCAGTGACCAGCACCTGGGCATAAACCCCCACTCAGCCTCAGACCTCTGGTGTAGGGAGGGCACCGGACGGGTCAGCAGGCCGGCGGCTCCGTATCTCTTGTCCTGGTGCTCGGACCCACCAGAGTGGGCAGTGACAGAAGAGCCCTAACACTGCCCAGTGCCAGGCCCCATTGGGACACTTGGCATGTGTCTGTGGGCTCTCCACAGGCGGGGTCGCCTGCCCACAGTCTCCTGCCCTGGCATGACTGGGTCACCTGGTCCCTCCCAGGCCCTCAGCTCTGCTGTGCGGCACAGGGCACCTGCACCCCTGGGAGGCAGGTCCAGGGGCCTTGAATCCTGGGCACTGGGGGAGAGGCTGGGAAGAGCAGCGCTCAGCCCCGTTCCATCAGGGTCTCCAAGCCTTTCACCTCAGCACCCGCCCAGGTGAGGGCAGACAGGGAAGAGCCACTCACTGTGTCCAGGGTACCCCAAGGGGCCTCTTGTGGAGACCCGTTTGTACCCACGTGCTGGCGACCGAGGAGCGTGAGGTCAGCAGTAGCCCTCAGAGGCGCTCCCGTGTGTCCCCAGGATGCTCCTGCATCCTGGCGCACGTCTCCTATGTGGCCGGGTGCTCTGTAACGGTGGGTTGTGTCAGGCTAGCCAGTAGCTCTGGGGGCGCTGCCCCCCCGTGAGAATCTGGGAGGTGTGACTGGGTGGTCACTGCCCGCTCTGCCTCGCTCTCCTGGCCACAGAGCAAATGCTTTGGCCTGACAACAGTCGTGTGTCCGAGGCTCCTGGTGGGCGGGGAAGAGCGAGGAGGGGAAGCGCCCCTGCTCAGAGGGGGTGTGGTTGGCCTTCTAGGCGCTGGAGAAGAAGGGGATCAGTCACCTGGAGGAGAAGGAGCTGAAGGAGCGAAACAAGAGAATCCAGGAAGACAATCGGCTGGAGCTGCAGAAGGTGGGCCAGCCGCCCGCAGGAGGGCAGAGGCTTTCCCTGGGGCTCGAGACCCGCTCACCCTGGCCACAGCACCTGGCTGACTTAAATGAAAAATCCGACGCAAGTGGCTCCAGGCACAGCTGGGTCAAGGACTCCGTCTCCAGCAAGCTCTTTCCCGCCTCTCAGCTTCACTCTGCATGCTTCCTTCAGGGTGGCCAGAAGGGGCCCACAGACCTGAGTCACGGCTCAGTCCCTGACCCCAGGAGACCCCCTAGCCCACCATGGCATCGGGCATCTCCCACAGGCCCCCCCATCCAGTTTCTCAGGCCCCATCCCCCCACCCCGTGCGCCCTCAGGTGAAGCAGCTGCGGCTGGAGCGGGAGCGGGAGAAGGCCATGCGGGAGCAGGAGCTGGAGATGCTGCAGCGGGAGAAGGAGGCAGAGCACTTCAAGACGTGGGAGGAGCAGGAGGACAACTTCCACCTCCAGCAGGCCAAGCTGCGGTGAGTGGCCAGCCAGGGGTGGCCGCCTGCCCCACTGTCTTCTGGGCCCGGTGTGTGGACCCTGTGTCTGCCCTGGGCCTTCGCTCTTGCTGGCCCCACGCCTGCGTCTGCTGCTGCCCTTGAGTTCCCCGCTTGCTCCTCCAGGCCCGTCCCTGTGCCCTCCTGCCGGCATCAGCCCTGCTGTGCGTGTGCTGCTTCCTACCCTCTCCCCCAAGTCCCCATCAGCATGTGACCGCCCCCCGGGAGCTGTGTCAGGGAGCAGCCAGTGCTGGACCCTGTGGCGATGCCCCTGAGCCCATAGCCCCACCCAACCCATGCCGCAGTCCACCCTCTGCCTGTGCGGGTGGCCCAGGGCTCCCACAGGGAGGACCAGGAGTGGCCTCTACCCCCAGCCCCACAGCACTCGGGCCCCACCCACGGGAGGGAGGTGGTCCCCGGCCCCTGTCCAGCGTGGCCGAGTGCCTCCTCTGCCCAGTGTCCCCTCTTCCAGGACGCCTTCCTTGACCTCTACCCATTGCGAGCCAAACTCCCCCCCATCTCCTACACTGGCGTCTCCAAAGTCAGGGTCCTGAGAGCAGAGAACATTCCTGCCTCTGAGCTCGCCCCTGCTCCCTGGCAGCTCCAAGATCCGCATCCGAGATGGCCGGGCCAAGCCCATTGACCTGTTGGCCAAGTACATCAGCGCTGAGGATGATGACCTGGCCGTGGAGATGCACGAGCCCTACACCTTCCTCAACGGGCTCACCGTGGCTGACATGGAGGACCTGCTTGAGGACATCCAGGTACCCTTGGCCTGTCACCCAACCCAGGGCCCCCAGGACCTCGCACAGGCCTTCACCATCCCCTCTGCACCCCCAGGTGTACATGGAGCTCGAGCAAGGCAAGAACGCGGACTTCTGGCGCGACATGACCATCATAACGGAGGACGAGATCTCCAAGCTCCGCAAACTGGAGGCCTCGGGCAAGGGGCCAGGTAGCCTGAGGCAGCACATGTCCGCACCGAGGTGCCAGCGGCATGCGAGGGGTGTGCCCTCGGGCGCACGTCCTGTTCAGATGGGAGCGCTGAGGGCCGGGTTGCCCAAGGGGGCCTCGGGCTCACGGCAGGGCCCGTCAGCACCTGCAGGCTGTTTGCCCTCTTGCCCGCCCTCTCGAGACCTCTGACCAGCAGCGTGCAGCCCTGGTAGGCGGTTGCAAGCTGGGCGAGGGGCTCTCCCCTGCTGGGCGCTCATCAACTCCCCGTTTCTTGGTGGGCCTCAGTGCTGAGGCCTCCAGACCCGACTCCAGGTGGCCACTTGATGGCAGGGCGAGGTGCTGGTGACAGCAGGGTCTGTCCTGGGTTTCAAGACTTCACTGGGGGCACTGGGCAGAGTGATGGCCAGGAATGTGGCTGGGTACAGAGCCAGGCTGCCGGGCAGTGGGCGCCTTGGCTGGGGGCCCTCCGCAGGGCCAGCGGCCCCTGTGGCGATTGTGACCAGGAGTGTCGGAGGCTGATGCAGCCGGCCCAGGGAGTGTGTGGTGAGCCGAGGCCGTTGCCCAGTAACTCCCGGTGCAGCCGCAGGCCACCCCCGACTGGCCTCCAGCTGCATTTCGCAGCGGGTCCGGCCCCGCGTGCCCTCAGGTTCCGTTGCCCTGTGTCTCCCACCCTGCCGAGGGCACCTGCTGCCCGGCACCTCCTGGACTACCCTGCACTCAGCCCTCCTGGGGCCACGCGTCCCCCTGTCTGAGGTTGGTGACCAGCTCGGCGAGGCATAGCCTGCGGTCCTTTCTGAGAGGCAGGAAGTCCTTCCGGCTCTCCCGGAGCTGGTGACGTCTGGCTACATGCAGAACTGTGTAGGCAAAACTAGACCTTTTCCTTCAGAGGTCGGAGAAGCTGCCCACTGGATGTGGGGAAGGAAGCCCAGGGGCGTGCTGCGCTCGCCCCCTGTTCCGAAGTTCTCTGTGCACGAAGCCCGCCGTCTCTGCCGGCCACTGGGGGCCTCGACGCCCCCTCCCCTTTCTCACTGGTGCTCCCCTCCTTGTTTGTATTTTGTTTTGTTTTAAGATTTACTCATGCATGCAGAGGTGCAGGAAAATGGTGAGAGGACTCGCCAGAGACAGAGGGGGAGCAGAACAGATGGGGGAAGTCCACTGCTGAGGGGCAGCGGGAGGTGCTGGTCACTCCCAGGCTGTGGCAGTTCCCAGTGTGCGCTCCGGCCCGCCGCCACCAGGGAGCCCCGCTCAGTATGTGTTGCGGGTCAGGCCCCAGGAAACGCCAGGTGCCTCGGGGATGACTTCCTGCTTCTCCCTCAGCGTGATTTACAGAAAACGGAACCGAACCGCAGCCAGTGCTGACCTTTTTTCTTTTTAGATTAAGTTGGGCTGTTTTTTTGTTTTTTTTTTTTTTTTCATTTTTCTTTTTTCTGTTGTAATTGTTGTAATTGGAAATCCTCGCCGGTTAGCGGGGGGTGCACTAGCAAGTGGGCCCCAGAGGCCCCGTGCCCTCTCCGGGGGGCCTGCTTGTGGGTGCTCCCCACAGTGCTGCCTTCACTCCCAAAACGTGGTACCTCACTTGGACCCTGGCGCCTGCTGCGGGGTGCTCAGGTGCACCCTAGGCGCAGCCACCTGCAGGCTTGGGCCCTCGCAAGCGGGGTTCCGCGGCGCGTAGCTCTCCTGGGGGCAGCTGGCCCGCCGGTTCACTGCTCACCAGCACTGTCAGTTTGAGCGGGCACAGACCCACCCGCCCCGCTCTGTCTGCGTGCTCAGGGTGCGGCTCTGCCTAGGTGGGCCTGGGAGTTGTCAAGTTCGAATTTGGTCACGTGTCTGCAGTAAGAGGTGCGCAGGCCGCCAGCCCAGTGCCTGCCACCGAGCGGGTGCTACCCAGGACTGCTTGGTGGCCAGCATGGGACGGGATCTCGGACTCCGGTGCCCCAGGTTGCTGTCCGGAGGAACTCAGGTCTTCTGCAGCCTGACCACAGGCAGGACTAGAAAAGCCAGCTTTGGAGCTGGCTACCCACCTTCCATTTACCACTGAGCACTGAGCGCCGTGTGGGTCCAGCCAGAGCCCGTGGGAGCCCAGGCCAAGGGATAATGTGGTGGTGGGGGGAGAATTCCTGGGAAAAGAAGCGTGCTCACTAGTCACCAGTGGTGGGTGGGCTCTAGGAAGCAGATTGGATGGGGAGGAAAGTCAGTGGTGACAAGTACTGTGTGTGCAAAGGCCCTGGGGCAGGACTCCATACCCTAGCCACTCCTGAGCAGCAAGGAGACTGGTACCCTGGAGCATGGAGGGGGGCCCTTGCCCCATTCTCAGGGGCTCTACAGTCCAGAGGCAGGGAATGTTCTGAACCTCCAACCTCAAGAGAATCTGAGTCTCCTGCAGAACACAGGGAACCTGCTTGTCCCAGGAGATGGGGTCGGGGGTGGGGGGAGGTCTCCGGACTTCCCAAGAGACACAATGGCCGGGATAGAGCCTGGGAACAGCATCCCTCGTGCCATACACAGCAAGTGCTACCTGTGTTCACTGGGCCAAGGCGCTCAAACAGGAACCTGGATGCCCAGGTTCCCAAACTCTCAGGTCAGACTCAGAAACTCAGAAATGCATACCTGGCCTCCCTCAGACCGAGGGAGTTAGCATCACTGGCCAGGATCCAAGGCCTGTTGCCAACTTGGTGCATTCAAATAATGCAGCCAGGATCATGGCTGAGTCAGAAACCAGGGAAGAGGCAAGACCCGGGGGGGGACAGCGAGGCGGAGGGATTGTCTGGCACTGAGCACCCATCCTGTGCAGGTGAGAGGCGGGAAGGCGTCAACGCCTCGGTCAGCTCTGATGTGCAGTCGGTCTTCAAGGGCAAGACATACAGCCAGCTGCAGGTCATCTTCCAGGGCATCGAGGGCAAGATCCGAGCCGGGGGCCCCAACCTCGACATGGGCTACTGGGAGAGCCTGCTGCAGCAGCTGCGGGCCCACATGGCGCGGGCCAGGTGAGCAAGTGGGCACCCACCCAGGAGCACCACCCCCACCCGCCCCGGCCCACGGGGTGAGGCCATCGCTGGCTAATCCTGGAGACCTACATGCCTGTGCCCTCCTGAAGGCCCCCAGCCATGGTCCCCTGTGCCCACCTGGAGTCGGGACAGGTAGGGCTGGCCATCAGCAGTTCTTCCTCCTTGCCAGGCCTTTGTTTCACTGTCTGCAGGCACCACAATGCCAGGCTGCACTCCAACTCTGCACCTTCTCAGCCTTGGCACCGCTCTATAAACATGGCGCCTGTGCAAATGCCTCTGAAACTCCCTCCTCACCAGCCCTGCCTCTGGCTCGGCCTGTTCTGTAGACTCCAGTCACAGGGGCACACCCTCATCCAGCCAGGGGTCAGTTCTTGGGCCCATGACCCATGTCTTCAAGTCAGTGTCCTTGTGGCCAGAGCCTTGACCTTGGACTAGCCACAGCTGGGCTAGTAACCCCAGCCAGTGCGTGACCATTGCTGCCCCTCAGCCTCGCAGCAAAAGAAGGGTCTCACGAAGCCAAAGGGTGTGGGGTTGTGGAGGCCAGACCCCTCGCGATTGTTGCCTCTGGAAGTAACCCTTGCTTTGTCCAGACTGCGGGAGCGTCACCAGGACGTGCTGCGGCAGAAGCTGTATAAGCTGAAGCAAGAGCAGGGGGTAGAGAGTGAGCCCCTGTTCCCCATCCTCAAGCAGGAGCCACAGTCCCCGGGACACAGGTAGGCCACACCCGCCGCGCCCTTCCTGCCCAGACCCCCTGCAGGGCCCCGGCAGCCGCCCACCCGGCCTCTGGTTTGCAGCCTGGAGCCTGAGGAGCCGGCCCCTGCCCCCCCTGGGCCCTCGGAGGGCGGCCCCCCGGAGCCGGAGGCGGAAGGAGCAGCATCGGCAGAGGGCGAGGCGGACGGGGAGGCCGTGCTCATGGAGGAGGACCTGATCCAGCAGAGCCTGGACGACTACGACGCGGGCAGGTACAGCCCCCGGCTGCTCACCACGCACGAGCTGCCGCTGGACGCCCACGTGCTGGAGCCGGATGAGGACCTGCAGCGCCTGCAGCTGTCCCGGCAGCAGCTCCAGGTCACAGGTACTGGGCGGCTGCCCCTCCCTCCGCGAACGAAGGGCGTGCCGCGCGGGCCCCTGGCGCCTGCATGCAGCGACCGGCGGGCCACTGCCGTTGAGGCTGGGGGGGCCCGGGCCCAGGCTGACGCGCCCCCCCACAGGTGACGCCAGCGAGAGCGCCGAGGACATCTTCTTCCGGCGGGCCAAGGAGGGCATGGGCCAGGACGAGGCGCAGTTCAGCGTGGAGATGCCGCTGACCGGCAAGGCCTACCTGTGGGCGGACAAGTACCGGCCGCGCAAACCGCGCTTCTTCAACCGCGTGCACACGGGCTTCGAGTGGAACAAGTACAACCAGACGCACTACGACTTCGACAACCCGCCGCCCAAGATCGTGCAGGGCTACAAGTTCAACATCTTCTACCCCGACCTCATCGACAAGCGCTCCACGCCCGAGTACTTCCTGGAGGCCTGCGCCGGGAACAGGGACTTCGCCACCCTGCGCTTCCACGCCGGGCCGCCCTACGAGGACATCGCCTTCAAGGTGGTGAGCCGCGAGTGGGAGTACTCCCACCGCCACGGCTTCCGCTGCCAGTTCGCCAATGGCATCTTCCAGCTGTGGTTTCACTTCAAGCGCTACCGCTACCGCCGGTGACCCCCTGCCAGCCCGGGGCTGCGTCCCCCCCACGGGGCCTCCGTCCCCAGCGTGGGAAGGTGGTCACCACAGAACCCGAGGGGACACGGCCAGGTCCTGCCACGCGGGCGGGTTTTGGAGCTCGGAACGCGAGCGTCCCTGGCGCTGTGCGGGTGGGCCCGCAGGCCCCCGGCGCCGGCCCTGTGGCTCTGTGGCTCTGTGCTGAGGGCGGGCCTCTGTTGGCAGGAGAGCGCACACGTGTGGGCTGGGCTTGCAGGCGGCACGAGGCCCGAGCAGGGTGTTGGCCAGCCCTTAGATGTGACCCCAGGCAGCGGAACCCGGACTCCGGCCCTTGGCAAGTGCGTGACCGCAGGCCCTGGGTCCTGCCCGTGCCCCTGCGGCAGCTTCGTCTGAGTTCTGTGGCCAGTGACTTGCCGCTGCTGTTGGCTGTGGGGCTGCCCACACACACACACACACACAGGGTGGAGACGCATCATCATGCGCCCTCAGCCCAGGGCCAAGGGTCACAAGGCCACATACTGCCACCACCCAGCCTTGGCACCCCTGGGGGCTGGCCTCCAGGGGCGACCTTGGCACCCGCCTAGCCTAGTCCCGGGGCCTCGGGGCCTCTGCCCACACCCCACGTCAGCGCAGCCACGCGCCTCAGGCCGCCGGCCAGACGGCAGAGCCGCGCTCGGCAGGACGCCCCCCAGCAGACCCCCGGCGTCATTCCAGAGACAGCTCCGGCCAGAAGTGGGGTGACTCCTGCGTCGGGCCTGAAGTGCCGCCTCCCAGAAGCCCAGCCCAGACCCCTTATTTCATCTGGAAATATTTTAGGTGGTTTCTCTAAAAAGACTTTTTTAGGTGGGGTGGGAAATTGTATTTTCATTTAATTGGCCTACTGGTGAGTGCATGTTTTTTTAATAAACACTTTATTTTAGAGTAATTTTAGATTTTCGGAAATGTTAAAAAATAGGGTTCCCACACCCCGTGGCCCTATAGTTAAAACCACGCGTGTGACCGCAGCAGCCTGTGGCTGCTGAAGCGCCGAGCGGCCCGAGGAGGCCGCGCCCGAGGAGGCCCTCTAAAGATTTGCTACCCACACTGACTGACTGACTGCCCCTGTGGGTCTCACCGCACCCCTGCACCCCCATGCCCAGTTCTGCGCAGGAGGCGCTCCTCCCCCCCTCCCCCCCCAGCCACCTCATACTTCCCATCTCGCGTCTCGCTGTCGGCGCCTGCTGTGGACGCCGCGGGCGCTGGAGTCCACCCAGGCACTCGACCGCGAGCCCAGTTTGCTGCCAGGCACGCCCAGGCCACGGGCCTGGCCCTGCCCCAGCCGACCTAGAGGACAGGGCTCGGCCAGGGGCACTCGGCACGCTGCAGACCCTGGCCAGCTTGGCCCGGGAAGGAGTCCACTGTGGCAGCACGGACGTAGCCTTCCCCTTTGGGTCCTCTGGCCACCGGATCCTCGGTCTCTCACTGAGGGACAGGCACTGGGGGCACTTGGGAGCCACCGGGCTTGGCCGTGAGATGGGTACCGCGGTCTTCTGGTCACAGCACGGATAGCTGCGACGCTCACACCATCTCCTGAGGCTCACAAGGTGGGTCTCAGGCCCACACTGCAGCCTGTGGAGGGGCGGTCAGGTTGGCTCCTGGGCTTCTCCCTCGTGGAGGCCTGTCCTCCCAGGGCACCACCCTGTCCTAGCTCCTGCTCCCTGCCCCTCCCCCAACCCCGCCCCAGAGGCGCTTCCTAGCCCCTCCACAGACCGCTGCCGTCCTGGCAGGGGTACCCACAGGAAGCACTGCCTGACTTTCTGGGTGCGCTAGCCAGGAGCCCCCAGTCTAAAGGGATGGCTGGTATCTCATGTCCAAGCGGTCAGGCTGGGGTAGAGGAGGCCCCTGGTCTGGGGATCTCAAAGCACCCTGCAGGTTCTCTGGGAAAGGGCCTGGAAGGATGGCGTTGCTGGGCAGAAATGCAGCGGGAGCCGTCTCGTGGAGCAGAGGGCGGCCGGTGTGCCAGGCAGGGTCCGGGAGCTCACTGGGCAGCCACAGAGGGGGAGTGAGGCAGCCGGAACCAGCTAAGGACAGGGAAAGCCCTCAGGCAGACTGGACACTAACCAGACACCAGCTGCACCTTGAGCCCACCCTGGCCTGGGGTCCACCCAGCGCCTCTTAAGCTGCCCCCCAACCCCCACCCAACCTCTTCCAAACCCCACCCCATCCTCTTCCTGCCCTAGGCTCTGTCCCAAGCTAAGAATAGATGCTCCCTGGAAGGCCCCCACAGGAAACCACAGCCACGGGGGTGCATCCTGAGAGTGGCCTCTGTTCCCACCATCTGGCCCCCCAGACCATCTCAGCCCCTCCCTCCCAAGCTTTCTGTGCAAACCGTTAAGCAAGGGGGCAGGGTGAGGAGTGGAGTCCGGGGGGTGGCGACAACCCAGAGCCCATGTACAAGCCCTTGGCCTCGGCTTTCCTTCCCTCCGGACCTCAGTTTCCCACCTGCAAAGCGAGAACCTCCATGACTGCAGCTGCAGCACTGGCGAGACCAGGGCAAGGGCAGGTGAGCCCGCTGGCGCTGCCCGTGTGTCCCCCAGAGCAAACACTGCCCCTACCCAGGGCACAGGAAGCGGGACGTTTCCTTCGTCTCTCTCCCCCACTGAGGGCAGCACTGCAGCCTCCGGCCGCTCCCGGCCGCTCCTGTCCTCACATGTCGCTCCCCGAAGCCTCGGGCTCCTTTCCTCCCACGTGCTGCACTTGGGGTTTCTGCCACACCATGTCCCTCGGACTTGGGGAACTCCTACACATCCACGAAGCCCTGGTTTCCACGGGCCTCCCCACAGAAGAGCTTTCTGGGCACCTCTCGGCCGTCACTTCTTCAAATCTGGTGTCCACCCTAGCTAGGACCAGCACTGCCCTGCCACATGGACACAGTTGCCGAGGTGTTCGTGGGCAGGGAGACCGCCTGGAGATCAAGGCCAGAGCTCTGTCACATGCCTAGGAGTTAGGGTGATACTGGGGCCAGGAGGAGGAAATAGCTGGGAAACTCCACAATGGGATGGAGTGGGGGAGGGGCCGTTTAAAGAGTGTGAGCTGAAGTCAGGATGGTGGGTGTGGAGGCCAGAGAAGGGGCTTCCGGAGAAGTGCAGGTCCGCAGCACAGGGGTTCACCTTCCTCCCTCTGACCTGGGCTGGCTCCTGGCCATGCTGGCCCCAAGGACGAGGAGGTGGGCAGAAAGGCCCCCTTAGAGGCTTCTCTGGCCACTCAGCCCCTGCCCCTCTGCTCTAACCTTGCTCAAGGCCATCACCCTCTGCTCCCGTGGCTTTGCATTAAGTCTGACCCAAAGCCTGGAGTGATTCTGGGGGCTTTCAGGGAACCCCATCTCTGGGGGAGCCCAGTCCCTGTTTTTAGCACCCAGGCCTGCCCCTCTGAATCCCCGCTGGCTGACAGGCTCTGGGCACCCTTCCCTGGCTGGGGGAGGAGCGCTTCCCCCCACACAACCCCGCTGCAGGCTTGCTCTGGGCTTCCCTCCCTCCCCCTAAGCCACCTCCAATCAGTCCTCACAGGCACCCCCCACCAGTGGCGGGGATCCCCACCCTCCGTCCCTTCTCACAGGCCCCAGAAAAAGGCTTTCTCAGCCCAGGAAGCCTGTGGTTGCAGAGCCTGATGGATCCTCCCCCTTAAATACCTCTGACCCCCCACGCCCCAGCCTACCCACAGGTCTCAAGCCACCATGGTGCCAGCTCCAGCCCTGAGCCCGGATGCCAGGGCCTGGACACCCCCAGGGAGCTGACTCGGCCAGTCCCCTCTGGCCCTGGGTGCTGCCTAGACGGTGAATAATGCGGGGCCTGGCAGGAGTCCCGGGGCCCCAGCTGCCGCGAGTCACCAACCCCTGTCCCGAGGCCTGAGTGGTGCCCCTACCCCAGGGGCCGCTGGTGTCCCCCTGAGGACTGGGGCGCACCCACCCACAGACCCCAACCGGCAGACCAGACGGGGTCTGAGGGGCGTGGCCAGCGAAGGGGGCGGAGCTGATAAGCCGAGGGAGAGGGACGACGGGGCCCAGGCTGCCCTCACCCCAAGCTGTTTTGATCTGGCGCCCCGCGCGAGGGATCCTGCCCCTCCTTCCGCCCGAGGCCCGACCCCGGGGCTTCCTGCGCCTCAGCCGGCACCGCGCCGCCGCTGCTGCAACGTGGCAGTGCGGGGGCTTCCGAGTGGCCTCGCATCCGTGGGACTCGGCTTCCTGGCCCCCTCCCCTGCTGGCCGCAAACGCTGACCGGCGCAGCCTGCCAGCGGTGTCCTCTCAGGTGAGGAAATGGTGGCCAGGTTAGGGCGCTGCCTGCACTCAGGTACCTGGGGCGTGTCCTATGGTGCACAGTGGCCCCCTGATGCAGGGGCCCCGGGCCTTGGTGCCACCTGGGTTTGGCCAGGTGCGCTGGCACCGGGCGGGGGGCAAGCGTGTCTGGCTGGGTGGACGTCTGGGCCCGTCTGCGTCTGCGTGGTCTGATTCTGTGGCCTGTGTGTCTGGCACGCACACCGGTGCTGCACGCCTGCCTGCTGGTGCGGCCAGTGGACAGCCGTGCACACCAGTGCTGCTCAGGAAGCAGGGCTTTGGCGGGGGCCAGGGGCCCTACCTGCGCTGGCTGACTGTGGCACCTCTGCTCAGCACCCGCAGGGACGGGCCAGTGGTATCACAACAGGAAAAGCTCCCGGAAACGGAGCCGCCATCGGAGCCTAGACCCACCGTGTGGGTGTGTGTGCGTGCGAGCAGGGGCGCAGGGCGCATGGCCCGGGCGGGGCATCTGGCCACAGGAGTGGGGGGTTCGTGCCCGTGCGCCCGAGCATCTGCACGGCGTGGCCAGTCCAGGCGTGGTCCCTCACTCTCCTGCCAGCGTCTTTGGGCATCTGGACAGCAGGTAGAGAGCTCGGGGAACGCTGGGGTCACCTGGGCATCAGGCTCGCGCCCAGGGGCCCCTGTGAGCACCGCCAGAGGCAGGAAGGGCGCCGCAGGGGCAGGTGTGACCCGGGCATGGCTGGCAGCGGAGGGGCCAGGCCTGGGCAGAGGGGTGCCCTGCTTGCGGGCCCTGAGGGTGGCAGGTGGGGCTCGGCTTCAGAGGCACAGCAGGGGCCCCAGCCTGAGTTTGTTGGAGGCCAGGCCCCCCCACCTCACGCGGCTGCAGCTGCCAGACCAGAGAGGCTGCCCCCACGGCGACTCCACCCCGAGATGGAGCTGTCTAGGACCAGCCTCTGGAATTCTGAAGGTCTCCTAGCTTCTGGGCCAGAGCCCGTTCAGATTCCAGAAGGTTGAACCCCAGACTCTCAGGTCTAGAATTCTAGGTTTGTTCCATGAGGGAGGGCGGGAGGGAGCTGGGGGGGAAGGAAGGGACGGGGAGTGGGGAGGGAGGGGGTGGGGCGGTGGGCTCCCAGGGACACAAGGCTGCTTCTGGACCCCACTCTGGGCTGGGCTGGCCTCCAGGGGAGGGGCCTGGCAGGCCCAGCGCAGAGGGGGTCTTGCCTGTCTCCAGCCCCTCCCCCCCCACCCCCCCAGGCCAAGGGCTCTAAGTCACTGGGTCTTCCCAGACATGTGAGTCTGGGTGTGTCTCCGGGCGACTGAGGGGTGCATGAGGTTGGACCACAAGGGACGGTGACACCCGGAGTCTCCCGGTGAGTGGCGCCGGCTCCAGGCCGAGGCCCAGGGTGGGGCAGTGGCTGCAGTGTGGGACTGTTGAGAAACAGGCACAGCAGGTCAGGGGAGGGGCGCCGGCCCAGGGGCCTCCAAGTGACTGCCCGAGCGACCCTGAGGTCCGGTCACCCATCTCCAGGGAAAGTCCCTGCCTCTGGGCCTCGGTGTCCCCCTCGAGGCCGCACCCCGGCCAGAGTAACAGCGGCCTTGGCTCTCGGCCTGGGAGAGAAGTTCGGTGCCACTGGTAGGAGCTGGGTGATGTCCGAGGCTCAAGGAGGGAACGAGGCGCCAGTGACAAGATCGGGGTGAGGCTGGCCGGCCGCCGGGCAGGGCCGCAGCACCCTGGAGAAGCCGAGGCCCAGAGCGGGATGCGACTTGCCGGGGAAGGGCAGCGCTTAACTCTGGTCTGACTTCCCCGCACCACCCCGCCGGCCACTGCAGTGGCCGCCTGGAAGCATTTCCACACGTGTGCACGCGACGGGGCCTGAGCTCAAGTCTCGGGCAAGCCTGTCCAGCGTGGCCTTCGTGCCCTAGCAAAACAGGAGCCACAACAGGGCTTCCCTGGGCGCTCACTACCTGGCACCTCCAGGCCCCCCCGGCCCTGCCTTCCGCACCCCGGCGCCTCCCCTGATGCCGCCTCCGTGCCACACGGGTGCTGGTGTGTGCCGGGTGGGCCCGGGCCGGCTGCGCCACCCTGTGGCCTGTGGTGGCCTGTGGTGGCCCCGGCCCTTGGCCCAGCGTGTCCCTGGGGGCTGGACGGCTGGGCGCCATCCCTCGCCTCCACTTGGGCATCTGGCGGCCGCCTCAGGCGCTTGCGGGGCCCCAGGGGCCCAGACACCCCCCAGATTTTTGCCGGGCCCAGCGGTCCGGGTAGTGGTCACCCCCGCTGCTGTTTATAGCCGTCCCCTGGGGACCTGTCACTCCAAAAGAGCTGTTTTGGTTTCCAGGGAAGCACCGGGTTTCTGGGTTTATTTCTTGTTAGAAGAGTGATGTCAGGGCCCCACCCGGTTCTGCCTGTGTGAAGGATACACACGTCCCCCTCTTGGGATCCCCAAACACCGATGGGCTCTGCCCCGTCCCACCCGCACAATTTACAAGCAACGTGGCTTCTGGGGCTGACCTTGGCGCAGGCCGCGGGCCCCGGCCGCCATCTGCCCTCCCACACTGGCCCGCCTGCCTTGGTGACGGAGATGACAGGAGCCTGCCATCTGTAGCCACTGGGGGCCGGACAAGGAGGACCAAAGATCAGAGGGTAGAAGTCCTTGCCCGGGGCCACACCCCGGCGCTGGGCTGCCAACGGCTTCTTGCCCCGGCGTCTCAGCGAACAGTTCTCTGCGTCCTCCGGGGCTCAGAGCAGACACAGCCGCTGGCTCAGGGCGGGACGCAGCGGAGGCCGTGAGGCGCCACTTCTGCGGGCTAAGTGAGTGACCAGCAGCGGCTTCCTGGGGGAGAAGAGTTTGCTGGGCCCTGAGGTGGTGCTGGGCGGGGCCAGCGGGCCAAAGGGCAGAACCAACGCGGCCAGCCTCCTCTCCGCACTCCCACTGCAGGTGCACCTGAGCTCTCCGCCCGCCGCCTGCAGCCCCCCATGGGGCGCTGACCGTCCGGCTGTGAGAGCCATGTGGCCCAATGGCAGCGCCCTGGGGCCCTGCTTCCCGCCCATGAATGTCACGCCGGAGGATCGGCGCCTCATCGCCTCGCCCTGGTTCTCCGCCTCCTTCTCCCTGGTGGGCCTGGCCTCCAACCTGCTGGCCCTGAGCGTGCTGGCCAGAGCGCGGTCGGGCGGCTCGCTCACACGCTCCTCCTTCCTCACGTTCCTCTGTGGCCTGGTCATCACGGACTTCCTGGGGCTGCTGGTCACCGGGGCCATCGTGGTGACCCAGCACGCGGTGCTCTTCGAGTGGCAAGCCGTGGACCCCAGCTGCCACCTCTGCCGCTTCATGGGCGTCGTCATGGTGTTCTTCGGCCTGTCCCCGCTCCTGTTAGGAGCCACCATGGCCTTGGAGCGCTACCTGGGCATCACCCGGCCCTTCTCGTTCCCCGCGACCAGCTCGCGGCGCCGGGCCTGGGTCATGGTGGGGCTGGTGTGGACTGTGGCCCTGGCGCTGGGCCTGCTGCCGCTGCTGGGTGTCGGCCGCTACACCCTGCAGTACCCCGGCTCCTGGTGCTTCCTCACGCTCGGCCCCGAGTCGGGAGACATGGTCTTCGGGCTGCTGTTTGCATTCCTGGGCAGCATCTCGGTAGGGCTGTCCTTCCTGCTCAACACCATCAGCGTGGCCACCCTGTGTCACGTCTACCACGGGCAGGAGGCCGCCCAGCAGCGCCCACGGGACTGCGAGGTGGAGATGATGGCTCAGCTCACGGGCATCATGGTGGTGGCCAGCATCTGCTGGATGCCGTTGCTGGTGAGTGACCCGCAAGGGTCTGACCCCTTCCACCCTTGAAACTGGTTCTTAGTTGGCCCAGGATGCGTTTAAATATGACGGTTCTCGTAAGGTGGGCAGACGCCTAAGTGTTCAAGTGCCCTTCCTTCAAGAGTTCATGGGCAACACAAGCCCCAGTACTGGCTTCCGGGCTGAGGCAGAGGCGGCCTAGGAATAGATGTTCAGAAGTGGACACCAAGCCTCCACCTGGGCATCGGAAGCCTTTCTAGGGGAGGGGCATGGAAGCTGAGGCGTTGCAGGATGAATAGGAGTTTGCCAAAACCAGTGAAGGCATTCTAGGTAGGATCACTGACTTATTAAATATTTCCTGAATGCCAGTATTCTTAGTCTGCCTGGACTGGACCCCTGCCCCTGCCCAGATCGTCCCTGAATAAAGGGCACCTGGTGTGTTTATTTTTTCCCTTTTGATTGGGTCAGGATGAGTGTGGAATTGAACACTTCATTCACTATCCGTGTCCAACAAGGTCTTCTTGTTATCACTTCAACGCGCTTCCCGCCTCCACGCTATCCTCTCTGATGGCAGGGATTTTTTTTTTTCATTATTTATTCATACAAGAGCTAGGGTGTAGTCAAGAGGTATGAGGAGGTGGGGGCAGGTGAGAGGCTTCACCAGAGACAGAGTGGGGAGCAGAACAGGCAGATGGATGAAGTCCACTGCTGAGGGGGGCAGCGGGGAGACAGGAGGGTCCCTCCCTGGCCAGGGTAGAACTCGTGCTGTGGTGGCCACAGACAGCTTCATCATGCTTCAACCCCTTGCTCCACCAGGGAGGCCTCTGATCACAGGGATTTCAAAAGTCATGTCTCGGCATAGTTGTGAGAAAGAGATGAACTCATGTGTTCATGTGTTCCTTCCACGACTGCTGTGTTCCAGAGCCAGTCTTGACTCTGAGGACACAGCAGGAGAACAAAATTGACACACGTATTTCACTTCCTGGAACTCCGAGGCAGTGGGGGACACAGAAATTAAATACAGTCAACAGGTAGAGGAAATGCCAGATGCTAGAAAGTAAGAATGCTACCCCAGAAACGAAAACCCTGGGGTGGGAAGGCTGCAGATTTGGGTTTACCTGAGAATGTTTTGCTGAGAATGTTTTAACATGTATAAACGGTTGGAGAAGAGAGAGAAGCATAATACTTTGTGACATGAGAAAATGACTTACATTCACATTTCCTCATCTAGATAAAAACCACACCTAAATGTAGCTTTCACGCTACCGGGGAGTGTTGAGCAGTTATGATGAACTACTTAAAATATCTAAAATATCTACGTGTCTCTTTTTTTTTTTTAAGACTTATTTATTTGTGCATACAGAACTGGGGTACAGGCCAGAGGCTCAGGGGTGGTGAGAGGCTTCACCAGAGACAGAGTGGGGAGCAGAACAGGCAGATCGACGAAGTACACTGCTGAGGGGAGCAGCGGGCGGGTCAGGAGAGGTCTGCGTGGTCACCTCCGGGGCAGGCGGGGATCAAACTCATGCAGAAGTGGTTTAGCTTCCTAGTGCTGTGCTTTACCCGACGCGCCACCAGGGAGGGCCTACTATGTGTCTCTTTAAGAAAAAGTTTCCCCCAAAGGAGACTCAGGAATCAGTTAATCAGTCACTGATTCTAGGCAGATGTCTTCTCCATTTTGTCTATCAAACTCCTGTTGTTCCTTTAAAGCTCCAACTCCAGTGGTTTAGGGCAAACCAGGACCCAATCTTGATGTTCCAGAGGACACTGGGGAAGCTCCCAATCAGGGACTGTCAAAAGAGAGGACATCTGGGCCCTCCCTGGTGGCGCAGGTTAAAAGCACAGCACCGTGAAGTAGCCGTGGCTACTTCACCGCAAGTTCCATCCCGAGCCAGGGACCTGACCCACAGGGCTCAGCAGACCTCTCCTGTCTCCCCGCTGCTCCCTTCAGCAGTGGACTTCGTCGATCTGCCTGTTCTGCTCCCCGCTCTGTCTCTGGTGAATCTTCTCATCTGCCCCCCCCCACCACCCCGCACTTCTGGCCTGTGTCCCAGTTCTGTGCGCATAAATAAGTAAATCTTTTAAAGAGAGAGAGAGGATATTCAGCAAAGATGTGGAGGAAGTGAGGGGTGAAGCATGCAGAGATCAGCAATCCAGGCAGAGGGAGCAGCCGTGCAAAGGCCCTGAGGTAGGACTGTGCCTGGAGTGTGTGTGGGAGGAGCAGAAGGCCCATGTGCTGAAGCAGATGAGTGAGGGGGAGGGGTGGAGAGCAAGAAGGGCGTGGGGGGCCATGATGGGCCCAGTGGGCCTCAGGAAGGCCTTAGACTTTGCCCTAAGGAAGGTGGGGGCCCTGGAGGGTTGTGGGAACCTGACTCATGTCCTCAATGCGCCCTCTAGTGGCTGCCAGGTGATGATGGTGACGACCGTGATGATGATGGCCATGATGGTGACGATGTGATGATGATGATATAGACATGTTCTTGCATCCCCAATGCAAGAACTAGGTTTGGGGGGACACCCCGGGACAGTGCAGGAGCATTTTTCTCAGAAGCACCATCCTGTAACTGCCACTCCCCTGGGACCCAGCCTGCAGCGGGGACCGACCCAAGGCGCTGGTACCTGGCTGCCTCCCGGTAGGGAAGCTTAGCCCCGTCAATGCCCCCCCCCCAACCCCGCATGCACACCAGGCACAGACACACTTCCAGCCTGCCCGCCTCGCGTCTCCTCCAGCCTTGGAGTGCCCAAAATGGGCCCCACCTGCCCTCCAAATCATGGCAGTTGGCGCTTGGAAGCCCAAGAGCCTACTGGCTTGACAAAAACAGGATGCTGCCCCGTGCAATCATCGAACACTGAACGTTTTGAGGCTCCTCTGTGCACAAACTTTCTCTTATCAGGCCATAAAGTAAATATTTAAAAGTCTTTGCCACAACTGCAGAGCAAAAAGCTACAATGGGTGTGTCTGGCCCTAACAGAACTTTATTTATGGCTACTGAAATCTGAATTTCACTTTCAGGATTTATGCCCTCTCCATTATTTCTACAACCATTTTCACGTATAAAAATAGTAAAACAGGGGCCCTCCCTTGTGGCGCAGCGGGTTAAAGCACAGCACTGAGAAGCTAAAGCCACTTCCGCATGAGTTCGATCCCCGCCTGCCCCGGAGGTGACCACAGGGCGCGGCAGACCTCTCCTGACCCGCCCGCTGCGCCCTCAGCAGTGGACTTCCTCCATCTGTCTGTTCTGCTCCCCGCTCTGTCTCTGGTGAATCCTCTCACCCTTCGCATCTCTGGCCTGTACCCCAGTTCTGTATGAATAAATAAGTCTTTTTAAAAAAAAATAGTAAAACAGCAAAACTAAAGGCATCAAAACGGAAACTGGTGGAGGGCACACTTGGCCCGTGCTATATGCGTTCCCTGACTCCCAGCAGAAGACAGGCCCAGGGACACCCTTCCGGGCAGTGGGGAGCCCCCAGGCCGGGCCAGGCTGCCGCTGGCCCCCGGCATTGCCCACGCACCCTCATCACAGCTCTGCTGCCCCACCCCAGCGCAGCGCCCGTCAGCGCCCGGTCAGTGCCCAGCTGAGCCCTGCAGTGCAGGCATTGGGGGCAGCCCGTGCAGAGGCCCTGAGGCCTGTCCCGGCCCGACGCTGTCCCCGGGGGGCCCAGCACAGAAGGGGGCTCAGGAGACATCTTAACGCAGTACTTCATTTTCATATAATAGGATTTTAATATATGACATTGAATGTAATTAGTTACAATTATATTAAACACAATTATAATTGAAAAGACAATACCCATATGTAGTATAGTATATATATAATTATATATGTAATTATAATATATATAATTTCACACATGATAACTAACAATTCTATTAATTATTAAAGAAGTCATTATGATATACTATAAAAGAATTTGTAAATAATATATTACTCATCCAATATTAAATATAAATCCAATATTTAATAAATGCATTAGAACAACTTACTACGGGTATTATTCAGCATGTTGGTCATAATGTTTATAAAATATAAAACTTTACTAAATATTTATAAGCTGGAGAGCAAGTTTAATATAAAAGTTTAAATATTTATGGTATACAATATGAATTGTATATGCATATAGTTATAGTATATAATTAAATTATTAAGTGTCATCTACTATATGATTATATTAAACTTTGCTGAAATCTGAAATGCTTAATACAGTGATAACAATGACAGTAACATCTGACACCTGCAAGTCTTTTCCACCTATATATATATATTTTTTTTTTAAGATTTATTTATTTATACATACAGAACTGGGGTACAGGCCGGAGGTGTGGGGGGGTGAGAGAATTCACCAGAGACAGAGCGGGGAGCAGAACAGGCAGATCCACTGAAGTCCACTGCTGAGGGGGGCAGCGGGCGGGTCAGGAGAGGTCTGCCGCGCCCTGGGGGTCACCCCTGGCCGGGGACTGAACTCGTGCTGCCGGGGCTGCAACAGGACACTGCGCTTTAGCCCACTGCGCCGCCAGGGAGGCCCTTTCCACCCTACTTAATGACGCCCAGGACAAAGCAGGAAACACCACCTAGGGTTCCGGGAGGTCAGCCAGCTCTCCTGAGGTCGCACAGCGAAGTGATGCGGACGTGGCAGTGGGTCTCAGGAGCTGCGGGCGTCCGCGCTGGGGCTGGTGGAGGGGTGCCCGGCCCGGCGCCCATCTAAGGCTCTGGGTCCCCACAGATCTTCATCATCCAGACGGTGCTGCGAAGTCCGCCCGCCCATGAGCCCACGGCACAGCAGCTGCTCATCTACCTGCGCCTGGCCACCTGGAACCAGATCCTGGACCCCTGGGTGTACATCCTGTTTCGCCGGGCGGTCATCCAGCGCTTCTGCCCTTGCCTCAGCCTCCGGCGCAGGGTCTCCCCCTCCGGCCTCGACTCCCCCGGGGGCGCCCTTGCCAGCCTGTCCCCCACTAGCACTTGCTCCTTCCTGATGGCCTCACCGACTGGTTCTCAATTTCCAGATATGGATGATGGACAAAGACTTTAAGAAGCAAGATTGTGGGCTGTCTTTCATCAGCCCTGAGGACACCCCAAATCTTCCCCTTTCGAAAGCCCGTCCCACTCTCAGCACCCCAGGTAGAGTATGTGGGGGTGTTAAGAAGATACCTGGAAGAAATTAGACTTGGGGGCCCACAGGTAGCAACTGCTGGCAATCTCCCAGAAGTGGGGGACTCTGACCTCTAAATACTGACCCCCCCAACCCAAGAAGGCTGTCTAGGAAAGACTGAATGTGAACGGGCAGGACACCGCCTTTCTTGCCAAAATATATCTCCTCCCAGCTTGGATTTCCTTTGTGCTGATCGTTGACACTTGGGGTGTCGGATTGCTGTCCAATTGGCAGCAGTGGGGGGCTGGGCTGTAGGGGGGGTGTGGGGGCTCACTGGTCCCTCTCCCACCCCCGTTGCTGAGTTTACCAAGCACCTTACAGTGGGATCACGGGGCTTCCCCCCCAACCCCAAGGACCGTAAACCCTTCCCACTGTAGAGGGTGAATAGCCACTAGCCAGTGTCCTCTCCACACGGGCCTTGCATCAAGCCATTCCTAGGTCAGCAGCGCTTCCACTCCCCACCAACTGGAGCAGCGTCTGGGCCAGTGGGTGCTTAGTGAAGCATGAGGAACAGGGGGCCGCCGAGCTCCGGAGCCCAGCTCCGCTGCCGGGGCTTGTGCCAGCACCCTGAGCGCGTGATGGGTGACTGGCACATGGGGGAGCTGAGTAGGCGTGCGGGGCGGGGCGGTCAGGTCCGCCCTCCAGACCCCTGTGCCCGCCCTGGCCTTTGCTGCCCCCACACTCCCCGCAAAGGACCAGCAGCTGCCAGTGCACAAAAGCCCTTAATCCCCGGGGGCTGGGCTGCCCATGTTGCTGAGGGCCAGACGCCCCTCCGCTCACCTGGGATCCGCTTACACCTCCAGAGCCAGGCCCAGGAAACTGAAGCCACTGTTTCCACCCCCCTCCCACTGCAGGGGAGAAGCCACATGCTGCTTCTAGGGGACCTAGGCTGGGAGGCTGCAGGGTCACAACTGTATCAGCCCCAAGCTGCTGCCCTCCATGGTGGGGGCGGGGTTCTGCCTTCCTGAGAAGGAGGAGGGAGGCGCTTGGCTTCCCAGAGTCTGGCTCAGTGCCAGGGCTTCGGGGTCCCTGAGCTGGGGGCTCAGGGAGCCGGGAACACAGGGGGGCAGCTTGGTTACAGGACTGGGGGTGGCAGACGTGGCGGGCTGACTGGGCTCCTGGGGGCCACGCTGGGACTTGGAAGAAATGGCTGGCTTCTGGGGGGTGGCAGGGGCCTGCGGCTCTGGAGCCAGATGGAAAGCTAGCTGGATTCCAGCTGACCCAGGCCTGGTCAGGTTTCCATGTAGCAGATCTTGGGGCTGGGGTTGAGGTCCACAGGTCCAGCTGGAGACAGGGGTTGAAGCTGTGGGTGGAGGACCCGGCCACCGAGGTTGGCGTGGGAGAGCGGGATCAGCTTGGGTTCGAAGGTTAAAGCCAGGAGTCTGTAGGTGGAATCCATCTTTAGAGCTGAGCTGGACTCTGGAGCTGGGCTTGGCTCCAGAAGCAGGCTGAACTCTTGAGCTAAGATGAATTCCAGAGCTGAGCTGAGTTCTTACACTGGTCTGGGTCCCCGAGTCAGGGTGAGTCTCAGAGCTAAGCTGGATCTCAGAACTGGACTGGGTCCTAGAGCTAAGATGGACGCCAGGGCTGGGCTGGACTCGTGTGCTGGTCTGGGTCCCAGAGCTGCTCTGCCTCCCAGAGTCTGACTCAATACCAGAGCTACTCTGGGCTGTGACGGGGAGCTGGTATCTAGAAGTTGGCATAGTTTTCGAGATGACCTGAGTGCCAGAGGTGGGCTGAGCCCCTGAGCACAGCTGGGTCTCAGAGCTGAGCCTGCTCTCAAGTGTAGACATGGTCGTAGGTCCTAACTCTTTTGCTGCGTGGGTCTGGTTTCCGGGACTAGACAGGATTCCAGAGGTCAGCTGGGTTCTGGAACTCAACTGGGCCACAGCAGCTGACAGTGTCTCGGAGCTGGGGGGGACTTCAGGGTCAGTCTGTGCTCCGGAATTGAGCTGAGACCTGGAACTGGGTGGGGTGCTTGCCCCGGACTGAGCTCTAGAACTTGGCCAATCCTTGGTGCTGGTCTGGGTGCCAGAGCTGAGCTGGACTCTGGCGCCAGGCTGTGTTCTAGGGGCAGGCCTTGCTGCAGGGCTGGCTGGCATTTCAGGCTGCGTCTGAGCTCTGGGGATAGGTCTGGCTGCAGCCCGAGCCCTAGGCGGAGTGGGCTCGGATTCTGAGCTAGAACCATCGCTTGAGCTGGCCTGAGCCCCATGATGGGGGTGGGGGAGGGCCCTCGAAGGCAGCCGGATTTCAGAGCAGGGTTGGGGGCCGGGGCTGGGCTGGGACACAGTGTGCACCTGGGCTCCTGAGCTGTCCTGGGCTTGTGAACAGGCTTGGGGTGGTGAGTCCCTCTCGGATGCTGAGCTGGTTGGAGCTCTGTAGCGGGGCTGTGGCTCCGATCCCACTTGGACTCCAGCACCAGCTGGCATTCCTGAGCTGGCCGGGGCGCCCAGGGATGGCCAGGTCAGGGAGCTGTGCTGAAGTCCAGAGTCAGTTTGATGTTTAGGGCAGGACTTGGTTCTAGAGCGTGTCTGGGTTCCAGAACTTGACTTGATAGCAGCACTTGGCTTAGCCTTTAAGCTTTCCCGGGCTCTCGGGGAGGTCTGGGCTTGGGAACTGGGCTGGGTTCTGGAACTCAGCTGGGTCTCAGCTGGTTGGGGTCTAGAGATAAAGGTAGTGTCAGAGCTGGCCTGGATTCTAGAGCAGGGCTTGGCCTCCGCTCTGAGCTGAGATTTAGAACAAGACTTGGTCTCCAAGCCGGGCTGGGTTTGAGAACCAGACTTGACCTCGGAGCTGGACTGGGCTCTGGAGCTGGACCTAGCGGCTTCTGGGGTTCTAGAGGATGGCTGGGAGCTGGGCTGGGACTCGGAACTGGCTGCGGTCCTAGTGGAGAGCTTGGCCTTGGAAGTATCCTGAGCTCTAGAAGGGAGCTGGGTCTGGGAGCTGGACTGGGTGCGCGGGCAGGCCTGGATCTCAGATCTGAACTGGGCTCTGGAGCAGAGCTGGGCTTCCGGAAGCCGCCGGGAGAGCTGGGGTAGAGGGCTGGGCTCCGGGCTGGGGCTGCATTCAGCTCCAGGACAGATTAGCCACAGGCCTCCCTGGCCTCGCCGATGGCGGCCCACACTTCCACCACAAACTCGTCCGGGAAGGCAAACTCGCCCAAGACGGAGTCTAAGTGACGCGCAAACTCCTGGACGCTCGCTGTCCTCTTGGACGTCTCCACCATGGTGGACGCTGCAGGCCAAGCGGGAAAAGTGGGTGAGGGTACTCCCCAGGACCCAGCTTCCCCCGGGACCCTTGCCCCCACCCTGTGGGCTGTCCTCCCCCAGGATGGGTCCACCCAGCTTACCCTGGCCCCTTACCCAGCTCTGGGTCCCGAATGCCCATGTAACTCTCCAGCAAGTCATCCACCCTCCGGGATGCCTCCTCCTCAAATTCACTGGGCTGGGAGCACAGGGAGTGGGAGGTCAGAGGCCGTGGGGTCCGGCGCCCCCCCAACCCCACTCCTTCTCCCTACGCCTTAGGCCAGCGCAGGTTGGAACGGCAGGAGCCAACCTTCCTTCACCAGGCACCCTCCCACCCTGCCTCGGGGGTGCCCACTGGGCGGGGGGCGCTGAGACTGGAGAAGGGACTCTTACCCAAGGCCACACCGAGTCAGCAGCGAGCTCCAGACGTGGGCACCCCTAGAGTACCCCCTCACTCACCACTTCCTCCACCGTGGCAGCCCCTCCGGGGCGAAGCCGCAGGGTCTCCCGCCCACTGGTCACTTTGGCGTCCCCGGGCCCTTTGCTGCTCCGGCTCCTCTGGCCAATCATGTCTGAGGTGAGAGCGTGGGGAGGACACATTCCGGGCAGGACACACCCAGAAGGCGCGGGCTGAGCCCGCCGAGCCTCTGGGCCTTTCAGAAGCCCCTGATGGCGGTGGCGGGGACCTTCCGTGACCCTTAAGGCCTTGAGACCCCTTCCTCCTACCTCACCAGGAGGCCAGAATAGGCGCCCACCAGCCCAGTCCTGTCCCACCCAGGTCTCCACCCTCTCGGGGCTCTTCTTGAAGGAGCCCCTGACCCTCCTCTCAGTCAGGGTCCGTCTCTCTGCAGCTGGCTTTCCCTCTCTGCAGCTGGCTTTCCCTCTCTGCAGCTGGCTTTTTCCTGGCTTTTTCTGCGCGCTTGTCCACTGCCAAGCATAGGTGCCCCCCATCCTGGCCGCTCTCGCCCGTGGGCCAGGGCAGCTCTGGAACCTCCTGCCGCCCTGGCACAGTGCCACAGCGACCCAGTCCACGCTAAGAGAGGGGCTTGTGCCAGAGTGTTAATCAACATACTCTCCCTTCCCGAGAAAGTTTTTTCATAAAAAAAAATTCCCACAACTATGGTGATGGCACACAGGTGATTTGGTGATGGGATTACACTGAGCTGGAAAAGGCACAAAATGATGTAAAAAATAAACTTATATATTATTTTTTAAAACTCCCACAGATTACACAGGATCATCTATCCGGGCACAGAGGTTTTCAACCTGTGTGTTGGCTGGGAGGAGGGGAGTGGTGACTTTGTCCCCCCCAAGGGACACTGATGACATTTAGACATTTCTGGTGACGTCGCTGGCCCCTGTCGGGTGGAAGCCGGGAAAGCTGCTCAGCATCTCCGGTGCACTACCCGACAGCAAAGAAGCATCCACCCTCAGCTGTCACCAGTGAGGACCGCTCATGGAGGGCAAGCCCCTGTCACCACAAGCCAGTCACAGACTCTTTGAAAAGCATCATTCCAGAACCGACTATAGCCTCAAAATCAGGTCACAAAACAGACCGGGACACATCCTCCTTCGTCCTGACATTCGCAAACTTTCCTCCCCTGCTCAGGCTTAATATAACAGCTCTGTTACTGA